CCCTCCCCTCGCGCCATTCTATTTCTGCTGAGCTCCTGGCCCAGTTTCCTCTGGGTTATTTCTAAGTGGGGAAGGGGGTTTGCGGTGGAGTCCACCGGCTTTGGCTGAAAGTTCACTGAAGGCCCAGAGGTCTCCTTAAACTCAGAAAGGACACAAAGCTCTCAACTTACGCCATTAGGGCCGGCACAGAACCCCACCTCCTCTGTCACCATGACCCTGCCCTGCTCTGGTTGAGGGGCGCTAAATGCTTGCACACTCCTCTGTTCCTGGGGCCAGCTTGTGGACCCGGAAGGTTTCTGGGAAAGGGGGAGGGTCAGGCCTCGGCATGGGTGTGAGAGAAAGGCCTGCTCCAGGCGGGGCCCGAGCACGAGTCCTCTTACCGAACTGTTCTGGCACTGGACGCTGGAGCTGTTGAAGCGCAGCGCGGGGACCCGGTGGACCGCCCCCTGGATGTTGAGGACACATTCATAGCCTCGCTGGCCCGACTGCGGCTGGGGCAGGTTTCGAGCCTTAAGCGTGATTGGCTTTACCTCCCCGACTGGTATCAGGATTTCCTCCGTGGGCACCAGCTGGGGACAGTCCTGGGGAGCAAGCAGAGAGGTCCCGTCTGTCCTGGCTGACACCTTTCTACTCACCTGAGCCGGGGCAAGGGACGGGACCCGGATGCCCAACCAGACCCACTCGTGGCCGGGTGGGCTGCCCGCGAGACGGCTGTACCTCATCTCAAGGGTATGGGGAGTCAGCAGGGAAAATAAAATCTATCTCTTAGCTCCTGGGGCTTTGATATTGTCATTCCCCAGCCCACAAGTTGTCCCGGATCTGGTGTGCATGTTACAATTTAGGAATTAATTTCCAAGCGCCGGTGTGGCAGGCTGTGGATTTTATCTCCTGCCACAGAGGATAAAAGAGGCCCCTGTGTGTCCCTGTCCCCAACCTGGAACCCCCACCTCCCGGTTTCATCCTTTCCCGGGCTCCTGTCCCTCATGCATTGTCCGGCCCGAGGCATTCTGTTATCGGCAGCCTCAGCTTCTCGGCTCCGACTGAGTCGGCCTTTCCAGGAGGGGGACCAACCCTCCCGGCAATGCTCTAAACACTTGCTCTGGCTTTTTATCTCATTTCATTACCAGGCCCTGCGTGAAAGCCATGTTGCTTCGGAAAACAAAACCGAAAAAAGAAAGTCTTGGTGGGGAGGGGCTGTGGGAAGGACCATGAGAGACCACGGAAGTGGGAAAGCGGGATCGATTTTCCCGAGCTTTACGGCTAGGTGTTGCTTCTCGCCTGAAGGTCACACTGTCACCTTCCCGCAGTTCGGACCCCTTGCCCACTCTCTCCCTCTTGAGGAAGACAGAGCCCAGCAGTCTCTGGCAGGGAGGACGGTGAGGGCCCAGTCACCTCCACATGCAATCACTTCCTGTCTCCAGGGACCAACCAGGGAAATTCTTGAAGAAGCACCTGGTTCCCCACCCCCTTCCCCTCTACGGTGCTTCTCAGAGGGAGCATTTGGGAACACGTGGGGGTTGATGGAGCTCTCCTGCCAAGGGTGCCATTGGCATTTAGTGCCCTGCTCAGAACTGCCTGCAAGGTGTGGGACAGAAAAAGTGTCCCCGTCCCGTTGCTAGAGGCTATTCCTAGTAGGAAGCCTTTCTTTACACAGGCAGTGTTGAGCAATGGACAGTTCAGCTATGGGATTGGAAGGCCTGCTAGACCACAGATGGGGCTGAGGCAGTTGCTTCTCTTCTCAGGGCCTCAGGTACAAGCCCTCTCCACCTGGCCTCTGCCTCCTTCTTACCCTGTAAGAAGGTCCTCGTGCATCCTGCTCCAGTCACATGAGACTTCAGATGAGTTTTGAGAGACAGTGTCCCTGACTCATGGGCCTCTGATCCTTTGAAGATGCTTTTCTCTCCATTAGAACCACTCACTACCACCTCCTGGCCCTCTTTGTCCTCCCGGACCTAGCCTCAGCCTCTCTGTAGCTGAATGCCTCTTAATTAGCCTTCAAGTTCAGCTCCGCAGCTCCTTTTCTGGAAAGCTGTCCCTGACCCTTTCCCTGCCCTGGCCTTCTGGGTGGGTTACGAGTAGTCTCCCATGATAGAGTTTTGCCCTCAGAATTGCAACATCTTGTTAACTTGTATTCCTCCCTGGTGTGTGAGCCCTGAGGGGATCAGACTACATTTTACTCGCCTGCCTCAGATGATAAGATCTCAAACGTTTCTTTCTACCTCCAGCTTCCTAGATTCTTCAGAGATGAGGGGAAAGCCTTGCCTTCTGAACACCAAGAGACCTGAGAAGGAGTTTGATTCCTAAAGCTTGGGTTATACATGGCCGCCGTTTCTGGAGTCACATGATTACTAAGTGGACATGTCCAAATCTAGTAAGGAGTCCTCAGAATTTATGAAAAGCTGGGGCAATTTTCCACAGACACTTCTCTGGGAGGACCTGGATGAACTTCTGGGGTCACTGGTGCCCTCCCTCACCTGTAGGCTAACTGCATGTGGGGACGCCAAGCGGGCGAGGTTGCTACAAGAGACAGGATCATAAGGCAAGCCCAGAGCAGATGGGTCCCTGTCGAGAAGCCAGTCAGTCAAGCTGCCAACTCATAAACTTGCTCTTTACTGCACTTTCACTTTCACGCCCTGAGGGCATTCTTGACAGAGTCTTTCATATATTTATAGCCAAGAAAAAAAAATGAACACCACTCTAGGGAAATCCAGGCATCCCCTGGAAAAGGAGATACTTCTTGGTGGCTAACAAATCCCTGTCACGTCTAATAAATTAGAATTTTAACTTAGACTAGAAAAAAGGCTGAGGCATAATGAGGTGTGTGTGTGTGTGTGTGTGTGTGT